AAACTTTCCCTATGACTTCTCCATCCCACTTAGACATAAAATAGAAAATAAATGACAGTAATATTCACCAGCTTTTACTGAGTCCTTGCCATGGGACAGGTGTTACTTTAGTGCTTTATTAGTCCTCAGATCCACACTTTGAACCTGTCTGTCTGGGACCCAGACAGATGAGGCAACTGAGGCTTAGCCACACCTCTGCTTTCGGGTCCAAAGCCTGTGCCCTTTGTTCCCCAACGAGCTGGCTCCGTAGAGTAGGCAGTGGAGGCAAACCAGGAGCCTACTTGCCATGCTTCCTTCCTTCCGCGGTCCTCCGCTCCTGCCCCCCCCCCCATGGCCCCCAGCAGAGCGCCTGGTACTGAATAAGGGATTGTTCTGTTTCTCCCTCTTGCCTCTGAATGTTGATGTTTGGGGTCATTAAGGGGCTTGGAGATGGGTTGAGGGGCGGGTTATGACCTGGCAAAGGCCTGAATAGTCATTGTTCCTTTTCTTCCCCCCTTGAATGGGATTTTGTCCCCCATCTTGGTGTCTCCTTGTGGATTGGAGGAGGGGGTGGGTCAGAGGCCAGAGAAGGGGAGCCTTTTCCCACCACTTTGATGGACAGGGCTTAAGCTGACAGATGCAGAGATTCCAGCATCCTTGGAGCTCTCCCCGGGCCTCCCTACCCTGCCTTAAACCAAGCAGCTTCAGTCTTGATCTTAATACCCATGAAATGAACCCTGGTTGGGCACAGGTCTGAATTCAGGTTTGGGGTGAGTAGGGGAGGAAGAGGCAACAGTTACAGGCTTAGGTTTCCCTGCCAGTCCTGCGCATTTATTTCTGCCATATTCCCCTGTAATAACCTTGATCTCTTCCCTGCCCCCACCCCCCTCGACTGCCCAAGACTGTAAAAACTGAGACAATCCTATCTTTAGGAAAGTTTGAGCTTCTTGAGAGAAAGACGTTAGATAAATAGGAAGTTATTCTTACGATCAGTATTGTAGTTGTTGATGTAAGATTCCGTGCTGGACAATATGAGCAAGCTCTCCCAGCCTGAGCTTTTATTTTTATTTTTTTAACCATACACATAGAAGTACAGAGAGCCAGCTCAATGGCCACCACCCCTGGGCAGCCTCCCTGGGAAGGGGCAGAGTCTTCCTCTGTCCTCTAGGCTTCTCTGACACTGTGCTCTTAACCTCCATAGCCCTGCAGGCCGAGGCATCTACAGAGTCACAGAAGAAGAGAAATGATACTCATGAGCCTTTAGTGCATAATACAAAGCGCATGAGAGATTCAGGGCCTGGCACATACAAATACATAATTGTTGAATGAGTGAATCATACTTAAATTTCACAAAGACTCTACAAAGGAGTTTTTATTCCGTTTCTTAGGGGAGAAAAGAAGGTTATGAGGTTCTATATTAAGTGAGCAAATTTGGCTGCAAACCCAGGTCTCCCGACCCCAAACCAGTAAGTGTTCTCTTTGGTACCCTGCACTGTGGCCCACATCCTTCCCCTCAAAGCTCAGCTGCTTCCACCCTCCTGTGACTGCAGACTTGAAAACGCAGGAACGAGTCTCCTTCAAAGCTGGCCCCTCACTTGTCAGCCCCGCACGCAGTAGGACTCGTTTAGGATTGGTCTGTTACTGTAACACGACTTAGTTTCATCCCTCGCTGACCCTGACCCTCTCCCCTGTGCCCTCCGGCAGGGACGCTCCGCCCAGTTCGCCGCAACTACTACGACCCCAGCTCGGCCCCCGGGAAGGGCGTGGTGTGGGAGTGGGAGAACGACAACGGTTCCTGGACGCCCTACGACATGGACGTGGGCATCACCATCCAGCACGCCTACGAGAAGCAGCACCCCTGGATCGACCTCACTTCCATCGGCTTCAGCTACGTCATTGACTTCAGCACCATGGGCCAGATCAACCGGCAGACCCAGCGCCAGCGCCGCGTCCGCCGGCGGCTGGATCTCATCTACCCCATGGTCACCGGCACCCTGCCGAAGGCCCAGTCCTGGCCGGCCAGCCCCGGGGCGGCCGCCGCGCCCCCCGCCCCGCCCTGCTCCTGCCCGCAGTGCGTCCTGGTGATGAGCGTCAAGGCTGCGGTGGCCAACGGCAGCGCTGGACCCCTGCACCCCTCAGCGGCCCGCAAGAACGTGGCCCCGCCGGGAGGGGCCAAGGTGCCCCCCCGCGCCCGGCGCTGGGGCCAGGCCACTGGAGAGCACAGGCACCATCCGAGGCCCGGTGAAGACGGTCCCATCGCAGGCCGTCCGGCGACAAGCCTCGAGCGCGCTGGCCGGGGCGACGGCGGGCGCTCCTGCCAGCCCCCCCGGAGCCAACGGGAAGACCGGAAGGGTGGCCCTGGCGACCTTGAATCGGACCAGCCTGCAGCGACTGGCCATCGCCCAGTCCCGGGTGCTGATCGCCTCTGGGTAGGTGCCTCCGTGGCTGCCTCTGAGCATCCGCTGATCACGGGCATGAGGTGAAGAAGGGGCTGCGGACACTAGCTCCTCCGCACCTTCTCCTGAGCCCCTGGCTGCACGTGGAAGGCGGCATGACGTGGTGGCTGAGGGAGGGTTTGGCCTGTGGGGTGTGACAGACCTGGATTCCAATGGACACTTTGCCCCTCACTAGCCGTGGGATTGGGGCAGATCCCCAGCATCACAGAGCCCTAGCTTCCTCATCTCTAAATGCCGGCAGTAACATTCACGTTAGGGTTGAGGTGGAAATTAAAGGGGACTGCACTTACTAAGGAATAACCGGCGACAGTCATGGGCTCCCACCATGCTCTGCGTTTGGGGCTTTATCACTTTATGTGTCCTTACAAGAAGTCTACGAAGTAGGCGTTTTGATCCCATTTTGCCCATGAAGAAATGGGAGGTTCCCTGGCTCGCTCAAGGAAGGGCACACAGCTAACCATGGGCAGAGATGCAGGTTCAAACTTTAGGAAGTCTGAGCCCAGCTTCCGACCCCACCACGCTGCTTCGCTGACAAGCACAGAGCATGGTGTGCAGCATACAGTAGGTGCCAAGTAAGAGTTAGTCTCTCTCCTCTGGTCTCCCTGGAAGCTGGACTGGTGACTCCAGATTGGAATCATAGCCCCTATTTAGTGAGTCCTTACTACGTGCCAGGCCTTTGCCATGCATTGTCTCAGTCATTCCTGTGACAACTTGGGGGTGTTGTAGGTTCTGTTATTACTGCTTTTTATGATCTTCTGGTCTTCCTGACTGTACAGTGGGAGAGACGGGGGTCCACATGGTGCCCGCAGCTTTTGCCTGCCAGCCCCTGACTTCTTGCAAGATTGGCCTCTCACTTCTGTCCAATCTTCCTCTTCTCCAGAGGAGCCTGGCCATGCCTGCAGCCCAAGCCCCAGCCGTTCGGGATGGTTTAGAGCTAGGTTGGACACCAGAGCATGAAGGTCAGGCTGCCCAGAGGAAGGTGTCTGCAAGTAGGAGCTCAGCACAAGAAGGAGAGCATCATCTCATTCCCCTGCGTAGTGATGCACGTGCCAGGCACCAGCACTCAGCTCGGGATGAACTCCCCCCGAAGAGCCACACAGCTCATGTGTTGCAGAGTGGGGGCTGGAGCCCAGGCTTTGGTCTTCTAGTCCACTGCTCTCTGGGCTAAGCCCAGCTCCTCGTTGTCTGCGAAGGCAATTTATAAATAAATGGTCAGATGCTGGTCAGATGCCTGGATTTTCACATGACTTCCTGTGAACCTGTAGAAGCATTTGGCGGAGGGGAAGGGGTACCTACAAAACACCGCTGCTCAGTATCTCCGCGCTGTCCTACAGCAGCATCCTGGGGCCTCTGATGAGTTCCAGGGTGACTGCTGGCCTGGCAGGGGGGGCTCCTGCAGTGGGGAAGAACACGGTCTTTAGAACTTGACTGCCTGGGCTTGAACCCAAATTCCTGGCTAACTTGAGGGCAAGTTTGTTTGTTTTAATTGAAGTCTCGTCAGTTTACAGTGTTGTGTCAGTTTCTGGTGTGCAGCATCATGTTTCAGTCATCCATATACATGCATATATTCCTTTACTTGGGGGCAAGTTTTGCATCCTTTGTCTTCAGTTTACTCATCTGTACCAGGGAGACAGTCATAGTACCTTGCCTACAGGGTATGTCATGAGGATTAAGTGAAGTGTTCAGTGTAGACTTACCCCAGTGCTTGGCATATAATGAGAGTCCGGTCAGTATTGGCTGCTATGATGGTGATGATGCCGATGACGAACAGCTTCTGTGGAATGTGCACTCTGGGTTGCTGAATTGAAGTCAAAGCCGAGCAGAACAGCCCACTTCATTTCTGGTGCCCTTGACAAAAGCCAAGTGACCTCATGCCATTATTGAGGGAAAGAAACCCCAGATCGCTTTAAATCTCAATGAGGGAGCCGGCCGCTCTTTATCTCTCTTCTCTAGTCCCTCTGCCTGCCAGTAGAATCAGAGCGAGAGAATAGGGCGGAGGTCTGGGCAGTGCAATTTCAAAAGGGCTATAGAAACAAGTTGTTTTTTTCTCTGCTCTGTTTCGCTGACAAGGGAGGCCCCTCCCTACCGCTCTCTGTCATCCAGCCCTCTCCTTTTCACCTCTGCCTGCCTCCATCACCCACACTACCATCTTCTCCTCCAGTCTTTCTTGGCCATTTAATTGGCGTGTTTATTCCCTTTGTCTGAGGCTGCCATCGACCTTCTGTCGTAGAATGGCCCCTTCCCCCTCCTCTCTCTGCCCGTGACCTCTTCCAGCAACTTTCCCACGGAAAAAAGGAAGACCAGGGAGGGCGGGAGAGGTGGGATGGAGAGAAGGGTTTAGGGGGAACAAAAGATCCTGTGAATTATTCAGAGACACAAGCAGGGGGTTTCTAAAGAGGAGAGGGAAACTGTGCCTCGGAGGGGAGGGCGGGAGTCGCCCCTCTGTCGTCTCTTCCAGAATTGTGGCTCCTCTATCTCCAACGAGACCTCAGTTGCTGGAGAGACAAGACCATTGTTCTACTGACAGTTCCTGGGTTGGCTCATGACTCCTAGAAAAATACTGCTTCTCACCATGGTATCTACCTAGCTATTCTCCCATCATCAACATCCTTTACCGCCCAGCAACCTTGCCAGCTCTTCTCTTTCTCAGTTTTATATTTTAGAGGCAGAAATTAAAACTCGCACACTCCATCACTGGGAACTGCCCAGTAGCTTGGGGGCGGTGGAGGGGGTGTCTGCTGATTGGCCAACAAGTGGTTGAGCTGAGTTGCCTGCCTATGGGTTGCTGATTTCTAGAAAAAGGGCTCAGGCACATGTAATTGGGTCCCCAACAGTGTGTAACCAGTGTGGACCCCATAGGCGAGTCTCCCTGGCTTTCATTTTAACCAGTAGCAGTGGGAGAAAGGTGATCAGGAGTTGCCATTTCAATAGTCTGCCTGGCACTCAACTTTATATTTTAATAAAACACTTAAAATCCTCAAGAATCTCAGAAAACTGGAATATTAAACAGGAAAAGGCTTTAATCAAGCCCAGCTCCCTCTTACTGTTGGGAAACAAAATGTAAACAATCACCCAAATTTGCATAAGGCTTAGCTATTTACAAAGTGTTTGACCCAGATGCTAAATCCTCACAGGGACCCCAGGGTACAGAGCGTTAGGGTGCACTGTTTACTGCTGCGGTAACCCAGATATGGTCATGGGTTGCAGAGAGAGGCCTGGTTCTCCCAAAGGCACCAAGTCTGTGCAGAGCTGGGCTAGAAGGCAGAGTTCCTGGCCCCTGTGCTGGGCCCCTTCCACTGGACCTGTCTGTATTTCATAAGCAAATATCCCCTCTTCCCCAAACCCTGCTGCCACCATCCAGAGCCTACTGACAAGCCCTTCCACCATGTTGTCCCCTTCCTGGCATGACAGGGACACCCTCCTCTCCCTCAGTATTCAGAGGCAGACCCTCCCTTTCTCCAGGCCTTGCCCCCAACCCCGAGTCCTTGGCTGCCTGGGGTGTGTGCTCTGAGGATTGGACTATTTCCTGGTTAACCAGATTGGGTGTGGAAACCTGCCAGTCCAGTTTGTGGGAACAAAGGTGGCTTTTGTCACCCAGATCACAGCTAGTATCAGCCGAATTAGGGGCCTGGGAGACGCTGAGGGGGAAAGGCAGGTGCGGGGCTGGGCAGCACGCGCTGCCCCCTGGTGGGGAGCTGGGAAACAGGTGCAGAGAGGGGATCCTTCACTCCCCGCCTCCCCAGAGGCCAGGAGGAGAGTCAGCCTCCCTTGGGGGACCCAGGGTGGAGACGGCGCCTTGGATCACCAGGTACTGGGGTGGGAAATCATCAAGAAGTCTCTCTGGAATCTTCTAACCCAAGACTCTCACAGATAAGTTTTACAGATAAGGAAATTCAGGCTCAGAAAAGTTAATGGACGTTGTGAGGAGTTACTGGCGGGACTAGGACTTAAACCTGGTTTTTCTTACTCTTCCTCCATTATACCAAGCCTGGCCCTGTCGGGAAGGTTGCAGAGTCTGGAATCAAGTCTGTGCCTCTTTTTCTTGGTGACTTTCCTTTGTGTTGAATTCAGCCTTTCCCTCCTCCCATTAGGATTTGATTTATCCTGGGGAGAGTTTCAGAGGAAAAGTTGCCTTTGGTGGCCTGTTGAGACCCAAACACTCCCACATCTGTTATTTCCATATCCTTCCCACAAGCCTGGTGCACAAAACATTATCCCCGGGAAGGGGCAGAGGCCCCCGAAGATCCAGCATGGCCAGGCACGCACCCATCCTTCCGGGCATGCGGGGAACAGACAGACTCACTGCTCAGCCTTGAGGTCCTGTTCCAGCTCTCCCCTCTGAGTTGTGAGTTTATTCCTGACCCTTGGAGCGGCATGTTTTCTGTCTACAGCCTGGGGTGTTAGAAATATTACGTAGACACAAGAGCACAGCATAGTGAGTGGCTAAGCAGTGGGCTCTGGATCCAGGTTTCCCGGGTTCAAATCCTTAGCTGTGTCATCTTCATCAAAGTTGCTTAACCTCTCTGTGCTTCAATTGCCTCGCTTACTAAAATGGAGTTAACAATAATAGCACGTCTTGTGTAGGTTATTGGAAGGTTTAGATGGATGTATAATATATATTCTGAGTTAGAACTGCTCTAATCTTCTAAGCAATTATAACACATGGATGAAGGGCAGTGGGCTGTCTTGTTCACTTTTGGGTCCCTGGAATCTAACAGAGTATCTAACGCAAAGTAGGGCTCACTATGAATGGATGAATAAACAAATAATAATAGTAACAATAATTAATAATAATAACACTAATAATAAACACATGCTTTTCTCCTTCCCCCCTACTTTTCCCAGCACCACCCTTCCGCCATAGCAGAACTGCTGACTTCTCAGGCTGTCTGGCTCCTGGAGTCATCTGTGACCCAGCCCATCACACTCTCCAAGCCTACATCCCCCTTCTGAACCCAGCTGTGGAAACCAGGGTGGCGGGGCGGGGGGGGGGGGACAGGGCCTAGCCCCCAGCCCCATATTTTTCTAATCAGCCTGGTGGGAGGTCCTGACTTTCCCAGGCGGCTGTGCTGCCTTCTATACAGGCTGATTCGAGTTCCCCAGGGGAGAAGGACAGAAAAGGGAGGAGGCTTTGCCTGAAATTTATATGTCTCAGGGAAAAGGAGAAGTGGCAGCTGTTAGGGCCGTGGTTTCCAGATGCTGGACGGGGGATCGCCTGCATCTGTATGCTCTCAGCAGAAGCTTGTAAACGTGCAGATTCTCGTGTGCCACCAACAGTGCCTCTGATTCAGGCAGGGTCTCTGCCTTTTCAAAAGCTTCTGAGGTACCTGTTATGTCCACCCAGGTTTGAACTCGCTTCTTGGTTTTTTACATTCTTCAACAAATAGTCATTGAATGCCTACTAGTGTCAGGCTTGGAGTGGAACAGACAAAGATATTTGCCCTTGTAGAGCTGAGATTTGATGATGGGCAATAAGAAGCAACAGCTTATTTGAAAAGATTGTAAGTTCCACGGGGGGAGAAAAAGAAAAAAAAAAGACCAGGGTAAGAGCACTTGGTGGGCATGTCCCAGGGTGGGATGGAAGGGTGGGTAGCAATATTAAACAAGGTGCTCTCTAGAACATCCCTGAGAAGGTAACATTTGAGCCAAGACTGAAGAAGTTGGAGGAGGGAGCCAAGCAGGTATCTGATGGAAAAGCATTTCAGGCAGAGGGAACAGCATACGCAAAGGCTCAGAGGCAGGAGTGTCCCTGGCAGGTAGAAGGAACAGCTACAACACAGTTAAGACGTGAGTCGCATCAGGGGAGGCCAGAGAGCTGGGGGATCGGGGTGGGGGTGTTGGCAGCTCCCGCAGGGCTGTTTAGACCCTGCTAGGACTTTGAGGGACTGAGAAGCTGGTCTGAGTTTTGAGGTTCTGGGTTCTGAGTGGAGGCGTGACATGGTCTGACAGGTCTGAAAGGATCACCTCTGGCTGCTTGGCTCAGAACTTACGGCATCTTTAATAGGGATAAGTCATTCCTGTAAGAAAGGGGAACTGCTCAGTGAGTGAAGTTTTAGGGTTCCCAGCACTGGCCCATTTTGTCCCACTTGTCCAAATAATGATGCATCTGCTCTTTCCTTCCCCAGGGTCCCCACCGTCCCAGTGAAGAACCTCAGTGGGTCCAGCCCTGTCAATCCTGCTTTGGCAGGTAAGAGAAGCCCTGGGCTGAAGGTAGGGAAAAAAAAGAAAGAAAGAAAGAAAGCAATGAAATAGGTGGTGAGCATTTGGTAAAAGGGAGAGAATTCGGATGTTGATGAAGACAGACGAGAATTTGAGGAGCTGGGTTGGAAAGGCAGAAAGAGTTTGGGGAGAACTGACCGTGAAAAGCAAAGCTTGCTGTGGAAGGTGAGTGAATGGAGATGTTTCTGGTAAAAGGAGAGGCTAAGGGGAGAATCTATGAGGTAAGAGAATGCTGGTGAAACAGAGGCGAGCAGGCTCCTGCAGAGGGAGGGTCTGGGGGTGTTGGGGGCTGACTCTTCAGTCCCTCCTCCCTTGTATCCTTGTCCTTCCAGGAATCACTGGGATCCTCATGAGCGCCGCGGGGCTGCCAGTGTGTCTCACCAGGCCACCAAAGCTGGTCCTCCACCCACCCCCCGTCAGCAAGAGCGAAATAAAATCCATCCCAGGGGTTTCCAACACAAGCCGCAAGACCACCAAAAAACAAGCCAAGAAAGGTACCAGCCTCCTTATCTAAAGGGGTCCTGGGGGGTCCCAGACCTCGCTCCCAGTCCTGGCTCTGCCTCCAGGTCAGACCCATGACTTGATCGTCTGTGCCTTAATCTTAACCTGCTAAGTGTGCCTAACTAGTACCTGTTCTGATGATCACACCAAAGTGAACTGGGTATGGATCAGACAAACGCCTTGAGAAATGCAAAAATGCAGCGCAAACATACAGAAACATAAAAATAGGAGTGGGGCACAGATAAAATACGTTAGAGACAAAGATCACTCGGGCACTGGAACCAAAAGAGACTGGAATCAAAGCCTAACTTTGTCGCTAGCAAGTCATGTGACCCTGGACAGTGTTTCTCACCTTTACAATAGGGTGAAAAATACTGCTTACAGTGGGTACCCAGCAGGTAAGTCCTGGAAAGCATCCATGCCATCTGGGAAGTAGCCACTGTCCTCGCGTCCCTCTGGAGCCTCCAGACACTCTGGCCACTCGAAGCCCCCTTCAGGACTTCCTTCCTACCTGCCCACAGTCCCCCCAAGGGGTCAATGCCTGCGCCTACCTGGGCACCAAAGAGCCCACCTCCGCTCTGTGGCTGGCCTTTCTGGTCGCTGGTATTGGCTGTTAAGTGCTTTGACCATCACCCCAAGCCCCCACCCTGTAAACTCGTTGTGAAGTTTCAGTGGGCTCACATGTGTACTGTAACTTAGCTCACGGCCCGGCCAGCCACAGGCTGTCAGTTAACAGGAGCTTAATTCTTAGGAGAAACAGGGCTGTGGGCAGGAAGGAACTGCCTCCACACTTTTGGCTGCTGCGAGATCCACGTCCTCAAACTTTTGTCCTGGTTTTCCAGTCTCTCAGGCGTTTCTCTGCTTAAATGAGCTCGCTCGCCCTGCTCCCCGTCTCATAGGAAATGACAGGGTTTTGCGCTGTCCGCTCTTCTTGTTATTATTAATAGCACATATTGGACTCTTACAGACAGAGTGCTGGAGAGCTGTCCGTCCATTCGCTCATTTAATTGTCAAAGCAGCCCTCTGAGTAGGTGCAATTGTTTCCCCCATCTTCTAGGTGAGAAAACGGAAGCTTAGGGAGTTTCCCAAGGAGGCACTGACCCTTTTGTCCTTCTCTGCCTCCTTGTGAGGCTGTAGCACCCCATCCCTGCCTTCAGGCTGAGCTGCCTTCTGGAGGTCCAGTCCGCCCTCCAAAATTCCGGCCTCGTTGCACCTGGCAGGGTGCCCCTCCGAGCATCACCTTTTCCCTGGTGCTGGGCTACATCTGCTGGCAGTGACTGTGCCATCAACAGCCAAGAAGGAGCATCCTGAAAGCTGTGGCCATAACTTCCCGGTTCCCCATTAAAATGACAGCACATGACCAATCGAGGTAGTACTTAGAACACTGTAAAGGGAATACCATAAGCCTACCGAATGTTGTCAAGTGTGTAACAGTTTGCAGAGTCCTTTCATCTCACTGCATCGATTATGTGGAAGAGAAGCCCACTCAAGCTCTGCCAGTCAAAAAGGGGGTTTGCTGGGAAGTGACTGCAGGAAATAAAGGCAGATGTGAACACCTACCCCCTCCTCAGACCCCCTCTCTCCATCTTCTACCCCTGTGTTCTTTTCTTAAATCCGAAGTGCAGAATGAATTCCTCCCCTTTTCTGCTTTAAGCCTGGCTGATAACTCCCCGCTGTCCAGCATGCCCAGCTTGACAAGGCTGTTGGACCTGCATCTCTGTCTTGGTGGCTCACTGATCATCCTGTCTCCACAGGTAAAACCCCAGAAGAAGTGCTAAAGAAGTATCTGCAGAAAGTCCGGCACCCGCCAGACGAGGTGAGTGCAGTGGGAGTGGGAGGGGAGGGGTCCACCTTCTCCATCACTCACGCATCTCCTCTGCCAGAGTTTCCTGCAGGATGCGGCAGGAGCTCCTTTCTGAGTCCTGACTGGTGCAGAGCTGGTCAGAGCAGGTGCCTGGGCTCCCAGCTTCGTAGTCCTGGGCTACAGCTGCCACTTAACCTCTCCCACCTCCCCGCTCAGCAAAGAGCTGACTGATTCTAAACTGCCTTAACGTGAGAGTCTGAATTTAAGAAAAACAGTATGATCACCTACAGGAACTGACTTTAAAATGGGCTTGATGTTGATCAGTGGTTCTCAACTGGAGATGATTTTGCAGGGCTGGAGGAGAGAGGGAATGCTACTGGTATCCAGTAGGCAAAGGCCGGGGATGCTGCTGAATACCCTGCCATGCCCAGGAGTGCCCAGGACAGCACCCAGAGCAAAGAATTAGCCTGCCCCAAGAGTCAGCGGTGCCAAGGCTGAGAAATCCTGTCGTAGACTTATTTAAATAGCAGCCTCTCCAGTACACTTCAGTGCCTTTACAAATGTTCTGCTTAAATAAAACTTGCCAGTGGGTCTGTCAGCAAGCATTTGTTTCCTCCACAAGCCACTGACGTATACCAAGAAACAAAGGTCAGACTCCCCAGGGAGATTATGATTTTGTTGGCCAGCCTAAATTAACACCTACCACCATCACGAATTATTTCAGGAATTTCTCTGTTGTGCAAAGCAAGACAAAACTATATTTAGGTTCCCAAAGGCATGTTTACCCTGGTTTGTGGGCTTTCTAGTGGAGGAGCCGTAACAGCTCGCCTGACCTCTGGGATCACGCGGGAGCCACGTGGAGATGCTTTGGCCTCCCAGGCTGGATGACGACTGATGGCCTCTTTGCTCTGTCCCCTCCCATGCTCAGGACTGCACCATCTGCATGGAGCGCCTCACGGCCCCCTCGGGCTACAAGGGCCCACAGCCAACGGTCAAGCCTGACCTGGTGGGCAAGCTGTCCAGATGCGGCCACATCTACCACATCTACTGCCTGGTCGCCATGTACAACAATGGTAACAAGGTCCGTGCTGGCCCGTGGGGCTGCCCGCCCCCATGCTGGGCCCGGGGGAGCAAGAGCTGGGGGCCTTTTGGGGGGTGCACTGAGCTCATCTGGTGGGGGAGGTCTTAGAGGCACCCCAGGGCAGCAGAAGTGATGGTCTTGGCTGTCCTCAGCAGAATCAGTTTTCCACAAGTTTATTATGTTGGCAGAATCAGTCTTTACCTTCCTTTTGGGCTCTGCCACCCAGCTCCCCTCAGTGTCTACACTGGGTGGTGGCCTGAGAGGTGTAGACTTCTGCCCCTGCGAGTCCTGAGAGCAGTGGCCCATGACAGTGGGCCCGTGGTAAGTGTCCACTCCTGCTGGCCTAGATGGAGTTCCCCAACACCCTTCCTTCCCCCAGGGCTGGTGATCTTCAGTTACAGTTCATTTTCTTTGAACAATTCCAGAGCACCTTTGATTGCCCCTCTGAAAGCGCTGGAGGGTTTTTAGCCAAAGGATAACTGGAAGTCTCTTCCCATCCACTGTTGGAGGAGGGCAGGCTGTCTGCGGGGCTCGCTTGTCCACCAGGGCCCGTGGGGTGGTGCTCCCCACTGGAGCTGCTTTCCAAGAACCTAGGAGTGTCCTTAAACTCTCTCCTTAAAACGCCCGAGCTTTGTCTAAGCCTTTGACTTTTCTCATGTCCTTTCCGATGCCTGGAATAACCTTCACTCCCCATCTGCGTGAATTCGAGTTCTACTCATTTCTCCAGGCCCCGCTTGGATTGCATCCGAGCCTGAGATTTTTGTGATATCCTCCAACCTCTTACTCATCCAAAAAATATCTGGCCTTCAGGGGCTGCTCTTGTTGTGGGAAAGAGTAAAGGCAAGAGAGGCAGCGGACCCAAGCTCGAACCCCGGCTTCGTAGCCAAATGACCTTGGACAAGATTTTCAGCCTCTCTGAGATTTCATCTTCCATCTGGAAAATGAGATGAAGCAACCCCTACTTTACAGGGCACTATTATCGTTACTATTCAAAGTGGTACCTCATTGTGCCATAGCTGCATTGTTTTCCTTCATCCCTATGTGGCCCTACGATTGAAATTCCCATAGTGCTGACCTTGGGCTCTTTCTCTGTCTCAGAGACCACATGCTCAATTATTGATGGACCCTGCATCTCTGTCTCCCCTGTTCACTTAAGGATTTTATCAGGACTTTGCATTTTAAGAGGTTATTTTGGGTTTAAAGGGGTTTCTTAGCACAGTCATTCCCTTTTTGACAACTGTATTCAAGACTAACCTAGTAGCTTTGCATTTATTTCCATGGTGCTTCAAAAACATTGAAGACACTATCCTTTATTCTCTTTTGCCCTAATGAATCTTTTGAAGCATGCATTTCTTATTTTCTTTATGCAGAAGAGGGGAGAAAAGGGCCCAGAGAGAATTGGAATGACTCATCCAATGTCACGAAGCAAGTTAAGGCCAGAGCAGAGAGCGGGACCCTGGTGTCTATCTCCCAAGCCTTGGATTCCCATCCTTTGATCATATGAAGTAACCTCTGTTGCCCTGAATCCATCTGTTCCTTTAAATGAGTAGAGCTTAAATTGAAATGTCCTTAAATAGCCCCGCAGAGGATGCCAGTCTTCCCGAGGAGACACAGATGTCCTGGAGAGCTCTGGTCCCAGCTGTGTGATAGCGCTTTTTGCACACATCATTCCCTGCCCACTCATGCTTTCCTTTTCCTCACTCCCTTTCTTTTGTGAGCCTGGGGATAGGATTTACTGTCCAGACTCCCCACCCTGGCTCTTCTCCCACCTCTCCAAGCAACACCTTACTAGGTCCTGCTACCAAGCCATGACCCCTCCCATCACTGTCTCCAGAGTCTCCCACTTTCCCCTCCAACAGAACCCTGTGTGCAGAGCAGAGCCTGGTCTCCTCAAGGATGTGGTCTCTCTCGCATGTCCCTTAGCACGGAGCATGGGGCTGTTGTGGAATTTTCCTTCTGTCACTTTGGAGAAAGCTTCAACTTTCATGGCCAAGGTAGCCAGGCAGGCGGGCAGCTAGGGTCTGTTACTGGTTTAGGAGCATTTTGTCCCCCACCTCCGCCCTGTGTCTCTGGTACCTTTTGGGGTTGGGTGGGGAGGTCCTTACCCAAACTGTTTCCCACACTGGTCACTCCTGCCTTGTCTCTTCAGGATGGGAGTTTGCAGTGTCCAACCTGTAAGACCATTTACGGGGTGAAGACAGGTACCCAGCCTCCAGGGAAGATGGAGTACCACCTCATCCCCCACTCCCTGCCTGGCCACCCGGACTGCAAAACCATCCGGATCATCTACAGCATTCCGCCCGGCATTCAGGTGAGCCCGTCCTTGGCCACTGGCGTCTATCGTTTTTAAGTTGAAAGGTTTGCAGGTAAATGTCTTTAGTCCATTCAGGCTGCTGCAACAAAAGACCACAGACTGGGTGACTTTTTAAACAACAGAACTTTATTTCTTAAAGTTCTGGAGGCTGAGAAGTTCAAGGCCCAGGTGTCAGGAGATTCGGTGTCCGGTGACAGCGCTCTTCCTGGTTCATAGACCACCTATTCACTGTGTCCTCACAGGGCAGAAGGGGTGAGGGAGCCTCCCTCAGAATTAGAGATACTAATTCTGTTCATGATGGTTTCACTTTCATGACCTAATCACCTCCCAAAGGCCCCCTAATACCATCACAGTGGGGATTAAGTGTCAACATGTTAGTTTGTGGGGAACCCAAGCTTTCAATCTATAGCATTCCACTCATGGCTTTCCAAAGTTCATATCCTTCCTGCACAGAGTATATACATTCCATCCCTAGAGTTCCAGAATCTTTCTTTTTTTTTAATTGAGGTGGAGTTGATTTACAATGTTGTTTTTGTTTCTGGTGTATAGCAAGGTGATTGAGATATATATGTATATATACTATTTTTCATAAAAAGCTATTACAAGAAATTGAATGTAGTTCGCTGCGCTGTATAGTAGGTCCTTGTTGTTTATTTTGTATATAGTAATTAGTATCTGCAAATCCCAAACTCCTAATTTAGCACACCCCACCCTTTCCCCTTTGGTAACCATGAATTTGTTTTCTATGTCTGTGCCAGAAGTCTTAACTCATTCCAACATCCATTTTAAGGCCTAAGTCAGAAGTCTTTTCCAAATATCATCCGAATCAGATATGGGTGAGACTCAAGGTATGATTCATGCCAGGGTGAACCCGTGAAACCACACCAGGTATGTGGTAGAGCCTCACCAGACTCCGAATCACCTGACACCTTGATCTCGCACTTCCCAGCCTCGAGAACTGTGAAGAATGAATGCCTGTTGTTTAAAAGCCACCTAGTTTGTGGTATTTTGTTAGAGCAGCCTGAGCTGCTAAGATGATGTTATGCTATGAAAAAAATCCCCTTCCCACTCTAGTCCCCCATGTACCCAGCCTCACCCTTCCCCTCTCTCTTCCACTGTTCTCACTTTCTTAGGTATCCTTCCGGGGTATCCCCTCCTCCCGTTTTTACACAAAGGGTGACATATCACGACACACTGTGCTGCACCCTGCATTTTCAATGACAGTATAGTCTGTGGCTCTTCCCGTATCAGTACAGAGAGAGCTTCCTCCTTCTTTCTTAGCTCTGCATAAGAATCCATTGTCTAAATGAACCATCATTTATATGCAAACAGTCTCCATTTGATGGGCATGTGGATTGTTTCCAATCCTTTTTTTTACAACAAGTAATGTAATGAATAATAACTTCGCACGCGTGTGAGTGTATCTGTCGTATCATCTTCTAGAAGGGGAAGTTTTTTTGTTAAAGGGTATTTGGATTCATAATTTGAAAGATAGTCCTTGACTTTTGTAGGCATTTCTTTCCTCTTCTGATTCTTTGAAAGACAGTTGTAAGGAACAGATCGAACAGTTTTCTTGGCAGTAAATACCAGTATGTTCCTTCCTTCACACATTGAAGCTTTTTCTGAATATTCTAGGGTGCTTATGGGATTCATTTATTTAGCAAATGTTTATTAGTTTATCCTCCTTTCCTCCCTCCTCCTTGCTTTCCTCCGTGTTGTCTTTTATTTCACAAACGTTTGAGTGTGGACTGTGCGCCAGGCATGTTCAACCAAGTCCTCAATGCCCTGAAGTCCCCATTCTAGTGAGATGAGGAAGAAATAAAACAGGGAGATGTAACAGCTTGTGAAAGAATTGAACACAAAAACATGATTCTTCTTCGAGGGACTTACCAACTAGTCAGGCAGAAATAAATACACATCACTAAGCTCCAGAGTGAAAACTGATGTGCGTCATTGATAAAAGCTGTGGGAGGCTGTGTGGACAAGGGCAACGCAAAAGACATTCAAAATCCAATGGACCTGGGTTCAATTCCTGGCTCACTCTTCCTTAGCTGGAGATTTTGGACCTTGACAACTTGACCTTTCTGAGCCCCACTTCTGCGTGTGCACAGCTGGGAGCTTAATCTACAGGGGTATTTGTAAGGATGGGCAATACGATCATAGGTGCATCTTGTGGTCCCCAGGCACAGTACCAAGGTGCTCAGTACCTGGTCCCCATCATTATTGAGTATCCTACTTGCCAGGGTAAGGATGAGAGCCAATTCTGTCTTTCTGGTAGGGTCAGAGGAGACTTTCTGGGGCAGGGCACTCGCTCATAGAGCCATGAAAGACAGCATTTTTAGTTGGAGGACACAGCAGAGTTGCAGAGAAGAGAAAGTGGGGTGTGGAAGGCCCATAAGGAAGAGTGACATTTGGTTAAGACTTGCCAAAGTGGGAGAGGGGAGGAGGGAGCATGAAGGATGTGGAAGACAGATGAGGCAGTGAGGAAGAGCAGCCAGGTCATGGAAAGCCGTGAACACTAGGGTGAGGGCCGTGGACTTTCCTTGACAGGCTGGGAGAGGGAGGGGCTTCCCCGAAGGTTGCTGGGTATGTGGTTAGGATTATGGGAGGTCGTGTGATTGGAATTATGCTTTACGAAAGCCAGTCTGGCAAAGGAGTGAGGGATGACTGAGGGACCAATTAGGAGACCACTGCGATAATTCAGGTTCCAGTCATGGGGCCTGAACAAGGGAGGGGCCAGGACAAGGGAGAGCGAGATATGGTGGGATGCCGGAGCAAGTGAGACTTCTGGAATGACCCTAGGGCTGCCAGGGGGAAGGTAGGGACACGAATGATAATTTGGGCATCCTGGCCTTGTGGGAAGCAGGACAGACTGACGTGGACAAAGGTTGGGGGTGGGGCAGCCACCTGGAGGGATGTTCTTTTTTCAAAGTCTCCAAGGCTGAAGAATGGGGAGCCTGCACTGGGGTATAGAGGTGTCTGCATGCTACCTCTGCAGGTGCCATGGAAAACCCAACTTGTGCCAAAGGAAATGCATCTAGGCACTGTCCTTACAGCCCATAGATCACCCCTGAGAGCCAGCAGCAGGACACTCAGCGCCACGTCCATCCCCGGAGGGTCCAGGGACCACTAGCTGGGGCTGTCGTGAGGAGTGAAGACCTTTAAGCTCTGCCTTCACTGCAGAGAATGATTCTCAGGGGGAGAAGCTCTGAGCGGGGCCGAGGCAGAGTCGTGACTGCTCAGCTTGGCAGCCTGCCGGGTGCACACAGCCTGGCTGGGCCAGTGCCAGGCAGGCGTCTGTGTTGGCGGCACCACAGGCAAGTCCCGGGCAGGAGAAGAGCCGGCAGAGCCGTGGTCGGAATCAACCCTTGGTCAGGCAGCCTGACTTAGAAACAGCTGTGGCCACGGGGATGGCGTCTACGTGGAGTGATTTCACACGAATGTGAAATTCACAACTGTCAGATCCTGGGTCTCCCGGAAGACTTTGTTGCCTCTTTCCATTTCCAGCGATCTTTCCCTTCTCTGAGACCCGCTTGTATTTATCATGCTGCTCAGTTTGCAAAATTGTAGACGGTTCTGAACCAGGCTGTTAAAAAGATTTGTAGTCACATAATTATTAAATCGTTTTGGAAATTTTGTCCATAACAGGATGCATTTACTGATCCTCTGTGTGGGAGCTGTGCCGGGAGTGATGTGGAGTTATCAGTATTATCCTGACTTCGTTTGGAAGGGATTTTAGAACAGGGTTTCACAGACTCGGGGGGAACCAGGGAAGCTCAGAAATTATAGACAAACGTTTGTGTGTAGAGGGGGAAAATCTGTGCATTGTTACTGGGAGAAAGCCCCTCAGTTTTCATGAACTTCTCAAAGGGGCCTCTGGACCAATCCGAACTCTGATTAGGAAGCCTGGTTTTTGACTGAATTCTGCTTCAGTTTCTTTCCCACCCAGTGTCCTGAGACCAATCCTTATTGTTAAACAAAAAAGCAAACCAAAACCCCATGAGGACAAAGGAGAAAATCTACAAGAATTGTTCGGATAATTCTGATGGCATGGCTCATGGCTCACAAGCACTTGTGTTATTCTGAGTAGTTTAGGGTGGGGAATTAACACCCCAAGAGAGGGCTCTGGCTAACACAGCTGGGAGGCAGCTGCTCTGGGTGCAAATCCAGGTCCAGGGACTCCAGAATGCATGTGTTAAACCACTTCACCCACCGCAGTTTGAGTCTGTTCTCTGTCTAGACTCTGTGGCCATGATGATTGTCATCATTGTTTGAATCAGTCACAGCCTGCATCTCCCCCACCCCCCATCAAAAATAGTTTGGAAAACGCTCTTTGCTCTCTTTCTTTCTGCTTCCAGGGGCCAGAGCACCCAAATCCTGGGAAGAGTTTCAGCGCTCGTGGCTTCCCACGACACTGTTACCTCCCGGACAGCGAGAAAGGGAGAAAGGTAAGAGTGGGCTTCCAGGTAGGGCCAGCAAATTTGCATCTGTGTTGGGGCCCCAAGTTTGCTCCCTGTGATGCTGAACAGAACTGTGCATCTCTCTCCAGATGCACATGTAACAAAGGCTTAGTCGAGTCAATTAGAGATAAGGGTGGATATGAGTAGAATTTTATTTTCGCAGGGTGGTGATGGCTGGACGTTCGGCTTTTTCCTCTCCCAGATTTTACAGGCAATAATTCATCTATTTTAGGATCCTTCCTCTAGGAAGGATCAGGTCCTGGGACAAGCACCAGTGCAACACCTAGGGGCC